TGTGGTTGCCCAATTTTCCTTCACACTGTCGCCCCTCTGGGGCTTTAGCTGGGAAGATGCCCAAACCATACGGGATGTGATGGGGTCTCTGAATAGTAGGGTTGTAGAGCGCAATGATCTGACCGACAGCCCGTTCGGCTTGGATTGACAAATCCAAGCCAGATCCGTGAAAGCCCTGTGGATTTGCCAATCCACAGGGAGCAGTTAAATAAAAGAGAGTGGTGAAGTAACACATAGGTTTTTTGTGGGGAACCCAGGGCCCATGGCGAATTGACCGTGCTCACGATTTGCCATTATTGCGCTCGGCTGCGTTGCGTAGACGTATTGCGCTGCTATAAACATGTCGCCCTTCTGGGGCTGAACGATCCGTCCTCCCGTTTTCTCGTCTCCGTCCGTTGCGTCATTGCGCCCTTGCGTTAGATTTCATCCACGCATCACGTTTCCCGAAAATCAACGATAAAAAGAATACACCCCAATATCCCAAAACAGCCGTATCAAGACCCAAGCGCAATGATAAATTCACCCAGCAAGATCCCCAAAAACAGCGGAAACACCTTGCGATATAGGCGGATGCCCCCAACCTTCAACAAGATAGCTTTTATCGCCCAACTCACAAAGATCGAAAACCAGAGCCACCCAACCGTCCAGCTACTGCTGCCGATGAGATAACCCGCCGGATGGAAGGGCCAAAACGGAAACCGTGTCCGTAACCACCAGAGCAATCCCGTAAAGCAGAAGCCTACCCCCATGAAAGCCACGGCGGAGAAGTCCGTCCCCATCGGGTGGTAGAGCCAACCTTGCAAGGCGTTATACCCACCGACCCCGAGATCGCTCACCGTGCCGATGTCATACCCGACAACCAGATACGCCCAGAACGCCGCGAGAACCCCCACCACCGTCGCCAAGAGCATTGCCCAAACCAGGCGGCGCGAATTCATATCCGCAGCGTCCGCCACTTTGAATCCCTCAAGTGTGTGCGGCATCAGATGCGCCCGGGACCCTCGATTAAACGTCATATAGAGCCGGGTCATGGTCAGGGTGCCGGGAGATAGCGGGCGACTGCCAAATACATCCGTGAGAAACTGGTGTGGCGTGGCACTGACCTCGTTTGTCGGAGGACCCACTTCAGCACGCACCCTTGCGATACTTATCGCCAGCAGGTAGTAGATCAGGAAGTAAACCCCCGCTATCCAGAGCGACATCCCACCCTTATACGAGAAAGCGAGCAGAAAAACTATCCCACCGATTAGACCCAGGACCGCCCACCGATACCGCATCGGCTCCTGCGCCTCGCCGGGCGTATTCCGAAACAGGTTCTTGAAGAGGGCGATAAAGTAGCGCCGCCCGCCGATCAGGGCAAAACAGCCAATCGCCAGATAACCGCCCATCACCTGCGCCCCACGATACGGGAAAAGCCGCAGACTCTTGAGTCCAAGCGCTTCGCCCAACACATATTCCAGCTTCCAGAACAGGTAGAAAAACCAGACGGAAAAGGACATCTCTAACGGCATCAAGAAAGCCAAGCCCACTGCGAAGGAGAGGATATAGACCGGCACCCAACCGACAGCGTTCCACGGTTTTTCGGTAAAGAATTGACCAATCTCAGCGTGACGAATGGGAATCTCAAGAAACGAGGGCACCAATGCGTGTATCCCATTGATTAGATCGATCCCTCCAGAAATTGCAAATCCGAGCCACATCATCTTCGACTTGAATAGCCGTCCATCAGTCCGTGTGATTTCCAGTGGCAACTGAACGATGGGATATGCCAACCGTTCCCGTTCAATCCACTGCCTGCGAAGCAGTGATATTCAGGCAGATCATCACCCAGATGAGCACCGTCAGAAACACCGTCCACCAGAGGATTGGACGCAGCCAATCCCGGAAATGCACCCCTGCGTGAAATGTGCTATCCCCCTCATAGAAGCCCGTCAGACTCGACAAATGGTTCATTATGAGCCATGGGGGCAGGTGTCTCCAGAACAGTTCCTTCCACTCATTTTCGGGTGTGGCAAACCAGAACGCGTCGGGAATCGTCGGCACCACCGTCTGCATCATATCGTGACCCGCGATCGCCGAGGAGACAGAGAGCATCACGTAGATGGTCAGAAACTCGCCTTGGGTGAGCGCAAACGCGGCAGGAAACGCTTAATCAGGAAGTTGACGGGGAGCAGCACCATCAAGGTGATAATCACATTATAAATGAGCGAGATGGTGGTCGGCAGTGTGCTCCAATACTTGAGATGGTTCGCCATTATACAGTAACTATTGACCGGAATCAATGCCAATCCGAGAGTAACCGCTCGGAGCGTCACGCTCGGATTCGATGTCTTTGTCTGGTGGTCGATAGCCATAGTATTGCATCTGAGGTCGGGCTGGGAAGTCTGACCTGCGGGGATTGGAGCTAGGTTTTTAGATATAGGTCAAAAAAGGGGCAACCCTTGTAGTTGCCTTCGGTCATGATCGTAGATCGGTCGGGCATCTTGGACTTGCCCCGACGGAATTGTGGTCGTCCTTCGTAGGGAACACAGATCTACGTCCCCTTGGATAGCGGACAAAAATCCTATCTCCCCTTCATACATCGCCAGATCCGGGATGGGACAACTCAGCGGGAAAACCGTAGGGAGTGTCATTCCGGTCAGCCGTTAGGGGCCAACTCTGTCCACCCAAGTTCTGAAATGATTCGTGCCGACCGCAGAGCCATAGGAACATTTCAGCCACCTTAATAACGTCGCGAAATAACTCGACGTAACCGTAATCTCCGGTGGGACCCCCGGCGTAATTGGCTGAAGCAAAATCGAATTCCGGCTCAATAATCCAATCCCGCTTTGGCGGGGTCGTGCGCCAATAGAAATACTTGAGCAGGTTGCGGATGCCCGAAGCGGTTGAAGGTCCGCGGCGATGCCAGATGTGATAGATGGTGATGAAAATCGAGCCGGCGGGCGCGGTTGTCGGTATCGCACCGCGGATGCCGTCTAGATGGAACATAAACTTGCCTTTGTTGCGTATCAGATGCGAGCCCGGCACAATCTGCGTGGGGCCCATTTCAAGGGGCGTATCTTGAGGGTAGTAGAACACCTGCAAAAAGTTCAATTCGGGTGTATAGCGATAGTTGCCGTCCACATGCCAAACACCACCCATCACTGGAAATTCCTGCGCCTCCTTTTCCGATGTCATCGGACAGTGCACCCGATGATTCGCCATCTTAATCGGTAGATGAAAATTGGCACCGAGAAGCGAGCGTAGGACACCCCCGACAGTTGGGTTGGCAATCACATTCTCGACAAACCAGTCTTCGTGTAGGATGCCTTGGGGTTCCGGGACGGGATACCGATCACAGTATTCTATCGTCTTCCGGTTAATCTCATCAGGCACCACACCCTCAAACATCAAATAGCCGGTCTTGCAAAATTCCAGCACCTGACTATCCGTCAATGTCGGCTCACAATCGTAGGTTTCCTGTTCCAATATCTGCACGGCTAACCCCTATCGTTCCAAAATAAATTCAAAACCGAGACCATACACCTCTTTTTCATCCACAGCGAGTAGAGACAGATTGGGGAATGAAATAATCCGCCAACCGTCTGTTACGGCGTCTAATACCGTCTGGTAGGGCCAATCCTCCGGGTCAGGGGGGCAGGCAATCCGCTTTCCACCTTCGATCCACATCATGCCCACCACCTGCGATTCGGGCGAGGTATTTCTGGCTTGTAGATAGAGGATATCCTGTGGTTTGTTGCTCGTTTGCCCTATTAGATCCGTGATACCCCGGCAGAGTTGGGTTGGTGTCAACTCACCCCGTTGCAGTTCAGCCATCAGCGAGTTCATAGTCTCTTTTTGTGTTTCAGTCATCCGGTTTCGCCTCATCTTACACACAATATTCTAACCTAAGTTGCTAGTTGTCAAACCCGATCGGCTTGGATAGACATATCCAAGCCCCCTCTGTTAATGAACCAATGAACTGATGAACCAAACAGTTGCTGCCCCAGCGAGATAATAATGAGAGCATCGTCTTTTAACGGTTTCCAAGTTGAGAATTGGAGAGGAGAGGGGAGGGTTGCGTTCACGGGAAGTGATACGTGAGAGAGAAAATTCGAGGGCATCATCACAGCGACCATTATGCCAATGCCTTCAGGCTGTCGTCGTTGAACGGCTGTAGCGGTGTAAAATCGCGGTTGTTATGATACCAGTCGCGCTCTGTACCGGTGCAGGCGTTGCTAACAGCGTTGTAGTTCAAATACATGATCGCCCGTCGCCAAGGGGGAGACATTGTTGGATGAGCCATGCACGACATTGCAATGGCAAAAACAAACAGACCCCGCGGGACCTATCAACGCTTCGATACCACTTTCTCCTGCCAGCTGCTCTAGGGTGGGACGATCAATGTGGTGCAAAGCATAGCCCTTCGCGTCCTTGTGGGGTTTAGAGTCGAGGAGGCCATACGTATGTGAGCCCGGCACGACCAGTAACGGCGACGTAACCGCTGTGCAATCGTCGATAAACACAGCTGCCATAATACACTTCGGTTCCATCATTCCGTCGATACGATGCCACGGCGGGTAATCTTGGTGCCAGTCCCACGCCGCGCCGCCCCCGAATCCCTGTTTGGGGTTAAGACGGCTCTGATGGAGATACACATCGTCACCCAAAAGTTGGCGGACCGGGTTCAGCAGGCGTGGAAGCAGCGGGAGACACTGGAACGGCTCGGAATAGACATGCGCTCCAAATGCGAGCCTGACGGAGTTCGGGTCATCTTTCTCAGGTATTACCTCTGGTCCCCGGCGACTGAGGATCTCCGGCATCACCCCCTGCAGGACCCCTACCTCATCTTCCTCCAATAAACTTGGGAAAAACAGATAGCCCTGTTGATTAAAGCGTGCAATTTGGGCGTCGTTGAGTTTCATGGTATCTATCTCATTTTGCGGTCAAAACCTCGCTGCTATAGTAGGGAACGCAGATCTGCGTTCCCTACCACTGAAATCTTTCTGCGTCCCCTGCCACTAGTGGGCTTTCAACGCGCCCCATATCGTCGCTAACTTTTCCCGTGGATCGACCGAAAACTTCGCAGGGAAGGGCCAACCGGGCGGCTGATAGGCCTCATTTTCGATTTCCCCTGCACCCGCGCCGCCGTTCCAACCACCTATGGTATAAATCTTGCCATCTGCAACAGCAGTCCCAAAACTGCCTCGCGCAGTGGGCATCGAGTCCATACGCCTCAATTTGTTTTCCTCTGGCGAGTATTCCCAAACATCGTCGTAAAATACAAGGTCGGGATCATTACCGCCTCCCTTTATTCCTCCTTTGCCCTTAAATTTCTCGCCTCCCATGACATAAATCATGCCGCTATTGACGAAGGCGGCGGCGAAATTATGAACGGGTCTTTGTATCTTGGCTTTGGGTGTCCAAATCTCCGTTTTGGTGTCGTATTCGTCCACGTCCGTGGTTGACACCTTATGCGTGAAATCGGTTGCACCACCAAAGATATAAATCTTACCTTTGCCCGGAATAGCGGCACCGGCTGCCCCCCATCTCGGATTCGGCATATCCGCTTTCTGTTCCCAAGCGTCGGTCACAGGGTTGTATACCTCGATCGCCGGGGAGGGAAAGAAGACATCGGTTGCACCACCAACGGTATAAATCTTGCCGCTCAACACGACGGTGACGGGAGCGATTCGCGGCGTTAGCATGTCCGCTTTCCTCTCCCAAGTATCAGTCTTCGGGTCATACACCTCTACTTCCGCCAGAGGTGCGATGCCGTCACGGGTTCCGCCGATAACATAGACCTTTCCGTCCAAAGAAACCGCGGTGTGCCGCACTCGACCTGTCGGTATAGGTTTCTTTTCGACCCACTTGTCCTTTGCTATGTCATACTCTTCATTTTTAGAGATCTCAGGGGTATCGTCTTGTCCACCGATTGCGTAAATCTTCATGCCAACGGCAGCAGCCTCAACTCCCCACCTATGCGTTGGCATCGGCTTTAGTTCCTTCCATGCCGCAGAGCTGAGTGTGGCAAAGCTAAGGCTAATCAGTCCACATAACATCAGCCCTACTAAGGTTTGATGACTTGTCCGCTTCATGGTATCTACCTCCTCTATCAGGTTGAATTTAAGCGACCTTCGGAGCACCTCAACCGAGAGGCTGCTCCAACTTCAGGACCAGTTACACCTCGCGAAAACAGATTCGCTATTGATGCCTCTTAAGCTTTCCCCATATGGTTGCCAGTTTGTCTTGGGGGGCGACCGAAAAGTTCTTAGGGAAGGGCCAACCGGGCGGTTGATAGACTGCTACTCCAATTTCGTCGCCGGCACCGCCCGCCCAACCCGCGATGACATAGACCTTTCCTTCTGCAACGGCAGTTCCAAAACTGGACTTTGCCTTCGGCATGGCTGCGTCACGTTTCCATTTATCTCGTCTGCTGGTAGTATTCCCAAACATCGTCGTAGAATGTCCAATCCGGGTCATTAATACCGCCATCAACGCCGCCTTTGCCCTTCCATTTCTGACCGCCGATGACATAAATCATGCCGCTATTGACGAAACTGGCGGAAAAATTATGAAGCGGTCGCTGCATCTCGGCTTTGGGTGTCCATGTCTCCGTTCTGGTGTCGTATTCATCCACCGCTGTGGTTGAGTTTTCGCGGGTGAAATCGGTCGCGCCACCAAAGATATAAATCTTCCCCTTTGACGCAATGCTAGCGCCGGCTGCCCCCCATCTCGGATTGGGCATGTCCGGCTTCTGTTCCCATGTGTCCGTCGCGGGGTTGTATACCTCGATCACCGGAGACGGAAAGTAGAGGGCGGTCGCGCCGCCGATGACGTAGATATTCGAGCTCATTGCGACCACCATCGGAGCGATTCTCGGAGTCGGCATCGCTGCTTTCATTGTCCAGACATCCTTTTTCGGATCATACTCCTCGACTCTTGCCACGGGATCAATTCCATCAAATGTTCCGCCAAAGACGTAAATCTTTCCTTTGAAGGTAACCGCGGCGTGCATCACCCTGCCGCTTGGTATCTCCTTTCCCTCGTTCCATTTGTTCCTTGCGACATCGTACACTTCCACTTTTGAGAGTTTGGGACTATCATCTTGACCAGCGATAGCGTAGACCTGATCGTCCACGGCGGCAGCGGCTAATCCCCATCGACCTGTTGGGACAGCCTCGACTTCATTCCAGCCTGCAAAGCTAAGCACCGAAAAGCCGAACAAGCCACATAACAACAATCCCGCTAACATTATCGACCGTTTCATGCTACAGACCTCCTGTATAAAATTTAGTTTGGCTCCCTTCAGAGAACCGCCGCTTTCCGAGTTGAGTGCTAGCTGTCCGCTAAAATAGATTTGCTACTGACGCTGTTTAATCTCTCCCCATATCGTCGCTAGCTTGTCTTGAGGGGGTGACCGAAAACGCCTTAGGGAAGGGCCAACCATCGGGCGTATAGGCTTCCATCTCTAGCCGTGGTCCGCCGCCCCGTGACCACCGACCGCATAAATCTTCCCGTCAAGCACCGCGGTTGCCAAAGTTGACCGTGGGGTTGGCATCTGATCCTTTAGCCTCGACCACCTATTCTTGTCTAAGTCGTATTCAAAGACCGTCCAATGCACGATCCATCCCTCGACATTTTGCCCGTCTTTGTCGTTGCCGCTAAAGGTCTTCCCCCCAATGGCATAAGCCTTCCCACTGTTGACGAAACTCGCTGACATATCGAAAAATTTAAGCGGCATATCCGCTTTCTCCGTCCAGGTGTCGGTCTTCGGGTCATATTCCTCTGTCAGGTCGGTATACTTTTGATGCGTATTATCTACAGCCCCGCCACAGATGTAAATCTTGCTCCGTGCTGCAAAAACGCCCGCACCCCATCTCGGGTTAGGCATATCCGCCTTCTTCTCCCACGTATCGCTTACAGGGTCATAGACCTCAACCGCAGCGGACGGAAAGAAGAAAGAGTCCGCACCGCCGATGACATAAATCTTGCCGCCGACTACCGCCGTGAGCGTCGCCATCCTCGCGGAAGGCATATCGGCTTTGGGCGTCCAGGTGTCGGTTTTCGGGTCGTATTCATCGGTCAATGGAACCGCTTGGAAATTATCCTCTGTTCCCCCAAAGGCATAAATCTTTCCCCTGACTATCGCACTGCTTACCCGAAATCTGCCGCGCTGCCACTTGCCTTTAACGTCCCACGCATCCCGGACTGGATCATATTCGCCCACAAATTTGCCCGGGGGCTTCAAGTCGTCCTGTCCACCAAAACCGTAAAGTTTCCCATTAAAAGCTTCGACACCTAATCCCCACATACCCACAGCACGGTCGCCTAATTGTGGCAGCTTGACCTTCGGCTCCCATTCTCCCGCAAAACTCATCGTCGAAAAAACCAGCAGCCCGCAGGCTATCAAGCCTGTTAAAATTATTCGATGTTTCATAATTAGTTTCTCCCAATTCTCTTTCGCTCATGTTAAGAGACGGTGTAATAGCAACCGTAGGGAACAACGATTGTTGTTCCCTACCAAAAGCTCGGTTTCTCCTATCGTTCTACACTTTCTTTTATTGGTTGCGCTTAATTTCCCCCCACTTCGTCGCCAGCTTGCCTTGAGGCGAGACGGAAAAAGCCTTGGGGAAGGGCCAGCCGTCGGGGGTGTATACCTCTGTTATCCCGGGGATGCCAACATGCCCCCCAATGGCGTAAATCTTCCCGTCCAGAACGGTTGTGGCTAAACTTGCCCGTGGGGTCGGCATCTCGTCTTTCAGCCGTGTCCACTTGTTCTTCTCTACATCGTATTCAAAAACCGTCCAATGATAGCGCCACTTGTCAGATAGGCGTCCATCTCTGTCGTTACCGCCAAATGCCTTTCCCCCGATGGCATAAGCTTTCCCGTTGTTGACGAAACTCACTGACATATCGTGATAGGCGACCGGCATATCTGCTTTCTTCGTCCAAGTATCCGTTTTCGTGTCGTATTCTTCCGTTAGGTCGGTATACTTTTGATGACTCTGGTCTACGGCACCACCACAAACGTAAATCTTCCCTCTAGCAGCAAAAGCACCTGCCGCCCACCTTGGGTTAGGCATATCCGCCTTTTTCTCCCATGTGTCGGTTACGGGGTCATAGACCTCGACAGCGGCTGACGGAAAGAAGAAAGATTCCGCGCCACCAATGACATAAATCTTTCCACCCACCGCAGCAGTAGCTGTCATCATTCTGGCGGTTGGCATATCGGCTTTAGCGGTCCATGTGTCGGTTTTGGGATCATACTCATCCAAGAAAGGGACCGCTTGGAAATTATCCTCTGTTCCTCCAACGGCGTAAATCTTCCCTCTTATCACAGCACTGTCTAACCGAAATCTGCCCCTCTGCCATTTGTTGAGTTTGGTCCATACGTCTTTATCTGGGTCGTATACATGCACAAATTTGCCCGCAGGCTGCAAATCATCTTGTCCGCCAAAGATGTAAATCTTCCCATTGACTGTTTCAGCACCCAACAACCAAGCACCGCCTGAAATGGCACCCAATTTTGGGAACGTGGCTTTCTCCTCCCATTCTCCCCCAAAAGCCATTGTCGAAAAACCGAGTATCCCGCATACTATCAATCCTGTTAGCAGGTAACGTGGTATCCGATATTTCATAATGTACACCTCCATGTTTTACTGTATCTGCTTAATTGCCCCCCACTTCGTCGCCAGCTTTTCCCGTGGATCAACCGAAAAGTTCTCTGGGAAGGGCCAGCCGTCGGGGGTATAGACTTCTACCTCTCTGCGGGGACCGTTGTGATGCCCACCAATGGCGTAAATTTTTCCATCCACGGCGGCTGTCGCTAAAGTGCCCCTACCGGTCGGCATCTCGTCGTTAAGCCGTTGCCACTTGTTTTTTTCGACGTCATATTCCAGTACCGTCCAGTGAAGAATCCAGCCTTCAACCTTTGGGCCATCTTTGTCTCTCCCATCGAAGGTCTTTCCCCCAATGATATACGCTTTTCCACTGTTGACGAAGCTCGCCGCCATATCGTAAAATTCAATCGGCATATCGGCTTTCTTCGTCCAGGTGTCCGTCTTTGGGTCGTATTCCTCAGTGAGGTCGGTATACTTCTGATGGGTGTTATCCAAGGCGCCGCCAAAGATATAAATCTTCCCTTTGACTACCACCGCCGGCATTCCCCATCTCGGATTGGGCATGTCCGCCTTTTTCTCCCATGTGTCTGATACGGGGTCATAGACCTCGATCACAGCGGACGGAAAAAAGAAAGATTCCGCGCCGCCAATGGTATAAATCTTGCCGCCTACCACAGCGATGGCGAATCCCATTCGCGGGGTCGGCATATTCGCCTTGACCGTCCATGTGTCGGTCTTGGGGTCATATTCATCAACGTTGGGAAGGGTTTCAAAGTTATTGGCGGTTCCGCCGAAGGCATAGATTTTGTTCCGCACCGTGGCAGCGCCGAGCCGGAATCTGCCCTGTGTCAGCTTCTTCTTATCCGTCCACTCATCCTTTTCGGGATCATATTCTCTCACGACTTTGCCCGAAACTACCAAATCATCTTGACCGCCAATGGTATAAATCTTCCCATCCACGACGCTGGCACCGAGTCCCCATATTCCTCCAGAGTGGGCACCGATTTGCGGCATATCTGGTTTCTCTTCCCACTCTCCTGCAAAGCCTATTGTCGAAAAGCCAAGCAGTCCGCACATTATTAAGCCTGTTAAAATTATTCGCTGTTTCATAATTAATTTCCCTATAGTTTTTTTTGGTGCACGTTGAGAAATAGTGATATAGAAACCCTTGGAGTGGGGTGTCCCGCCCGCGCTCGCTGCACTAATGGATCAATAGTTTTCACGTTTCACACATCATGTTTATCGTCTTTTTTTATTGACGCTGCTTAATCGCGCCCCATTTCGTCGCTAGCTTGCTTTGGGGAGAGACCGAGAAGGCTTTAGGAAATGGCCAACCGTTAGGGGTATACGCTTCCACTATTGCCGTGGGACCACAACAACCGCCCTCCCAACCGCCGATAGCGTAGATTATTCCATTGACAACGCTGGTGGACAGAATTGACCGCTCAGTCGGCAGGTCATCGTTGAGCCTCGTCCATTTGTCTTTCTCTACATCATATTCAAAGACGGTCCAGTGGAGTGTCCATCCATCGTTCAATCTTCCATCGTTGTTCCGACCCTCCCACTTCTGTCCGCCAATGGCATAAATCCTCCCACTGTTGACAAAAGCTGAAGCCTACATTAAAGTAGTCGATTGGCATATCCGATTTCTTCGTCCATGTGTCCGTTTTCGGGGTATACATCTCCATCGTATCGGTACATTTCTGATGGCTGTTATCAACCGCTCCGCCGGAGACATAAATCTTGGAGGCGACCGCGACAGCAGATATACCCCATCTCGGATTGGGCATGTCCGCTCTCTTTTCCCAGGTATCGGTTAAGGGATCGTAAACTTCGACTGCACCCGATGGAAAGAAGAACGATTCTGCCCCGCCAATGGTATAGATTTTCCCACCTACCACAGCGGCAGTGAGCCCCAACCTCGCGGTGGGCATGTCCGCTTTCTTGGTCCATGTGTCGGTCTTGGGGTCATATTCCTCTACCGTTGGGACTGCTTCAAAATTATTGGTAGTCCCCCCGAAAACATAGATCCTCCCTCTGACCACACTGGTAGCGAGTCGAAATCGACCCGTTGGCATGGACTTTTTCTCCGTCCACTGGTCCCTCTCCGGGTCGTACTCCGCCACTTTTTTACCTGCGACCGGTAAATCATCTTGCCCGCCAATGGCATAAATCTTCCCACTGACCGTTTCCGTTCCCAATCCCCATCGTTTCCTTAGCAGGGGTGCTTTTTCTTCCCACTTTCCTGCGAAACTGGTTGGGGGAACACCAAAGAGCCCACATGCTATCAATCCTATTAAAATGTAATGTGTGATTCCCTGTTTCATGATTTACACCTCCACGTTTTTTATTGATTTTGCTTAATCTCCCCCCATACTGTCGCCAGCTTGCTTTGGGGAGAAACCGAGAAGGCTTTAGGAAATGGCCAACCGTCGGGCGTGTAGACTTCCACTTTATCTCTCTCCCCACAACAAGTGCCTTCCCAACCTCCAATGGCATAAATTTTCCCATCTACCACGGATACACCTAAAGTCGACCGTGGAGTTGGCATATCTTCCTTGATTTCCCATCTGTCTTTCTCGGGGTCATATTCAGCCACTGTCGGTACATCGTCCAATCGGTTGGGCCCTCTGCCAAATTTTGAAACCCGCCTTTTCCTTTCCATTTCTGTCCTCCAATGGTATAGATCTTGCCACTGTTGACAAAAGCCGCGCCATGACCATGAAAATCTCGCCGCATTTTGGCTTTAGGGATCCAGGTGTCTGTCTTGGTGTCGTATTCCTCTACTAGGTCGGTCGCCTTTTGATGACTGATATCCACTGCCCCGCCAAAGACATAAATTTTTGACAGCACCGCCGCGGCAGCTAGGTTCCATCTCGGATTCGCCATATCAGGTTTCTGCTCCCAAGAGTCGGTTGCAGAGTTGTAGACCTCGACCGCCCCGGTTGGGAAGAAGAAATCTGCTGCCCCGCCAATAGCATAAATCTTCCCGCCGACCACGACGGCGGCTAACCCCATTCTCGCCGTTGGCATGTCCGCTTTCTTTGTCCAGGAGTCCGTTTTGGTGTCGTATTCTTCTACCGTTGCTAGAGCTTGAAAATTATTGGGTGTTCCGCCCATGACATAAATCTTCCCACCGACCGCAGCAGTAGCGAGCCGAAATCGACCCGTTGGCATGGACTTTTTCTCTGTCCACGCATCCCTCTCTGTGTCGTATTCCTCCACTTTTGAGACTTCGGGCGTATCGTTCTTGCCCTCCAATGGCATAAATTCTCCCGTTTACTACACTAGTGCCCAAGCCCCATCTTCGGGTTGGCATGCGGTTTTCCCCCACCTCCCACGTTCCCGCAGAGCTTACTGCCGAAAAACCAAATAGCCCATATAATATTAATCCTGTCAGAATCCAGTTTTTTATTATATGCTTCATTACGAATTTCTCCTCGATTTTGATTAAATGATTTTCTCAAATGGAGATTAACGCTTCTAACGCATTATTAGAAGGTTTGTGGACATATCAATTGAATATGGCTACAAACCGAATTTTCATGGGCTGCGCTTAATCTTCCCCGTGTTGTCGCCAACTTACCTTGGGGAGAGAAGAAATTTCTCGGGGAATCGCCATAAAGACAGTGCCTACCATAGTTTCTTGTGTCGCAGGCCTCAAAAAACATCCTTTTGAAACCCCGCCTCACGTCGGCTTTTGCCGTCCGGGGGAATGAACCACGATCACAAAAAACAAAATCATTTTATCAGACATTATTGCCTTTGTCAAGTTAAAATAGATCCCTAAGAAACTGGCGAAGATTGCTCAATTTTAGGTGGTTTAATCGTTCAAAAGGATTGATTTCTAGCTCGGTTTATGCTACACTAAACTCACAATCGATAAATACCACATCACAGGATAGAGGATGGATTTTGCTTATGTTTGAAGCAAAGCTAAGATCAAAGATCAGCGCGATACTCTCACCCCTTGCACAGGCAATCGTATCGCTCGGCATCACTGCCAATATGATCACGCTGTTCGGTCTGCTCGTTAATTTGGTGGCTGCCTACTGTTTAGCGACTGAACGGTTGGTGGCGGCGGGGCTGTTAATTTTATTCGGAGCGAGTTTCGATATGATAGATGGTGCTGTTGCGCGTGCGAGAACGTCGACCAACTCTTCGGGAGCACTGCTGGATTCCGTGATTGACCGGTATTCTGAGGCGGTGATATTCCTTGGTGCCCTTATCTATTTTCATCATTTACAGAACTTCTTCGGGGTGGTATTGGTTTTCGCAGCGGTGATTGGGTCGATACTTGTCAGCTATGTCCGCGCTAGAGCGGAAGGACTCCAAATTGAGTGCAAGGTTGGATTGATGCAAAGACCCGAAAGGATTGTACTGTTAGCGTTAGGTGTGTTGATACAGGGGGTTATCCCGGATCAGTATACATTCCTGCAATCAAAGGGGATGATCCTCTTCGGTGTATTCGCACTGCTTGCCGTGACCTCGCATATCACCGCTATCCAACGACTCGTCTTCTCTTTTTACAAACTGAGCGATCATTGAGTCAGTGGTCGCCAAACCCACACCGCTCACATACCCTCCGACTGCCGCTTGCGGATCAAACTCGGAATCAGCGACACGATAACGATGAAAACGCCTGCCCCCGCGAGGTAGATTAACGTCTTCTTGATATTCCCTCACCGACGTTCACCGCGGCCCCCAACTGGACGTAGGCAGCGGTGCCGGGCAACATGCAGATCCATGAGACAAAAAAGTAGTGGCAAATCGTATCTTCGTGAGCCCATAAGCGTAGTTCTGCAAGTTAAACGGAAAGAGTGGACGAGCCGAGTAACCATCAGCATCCGCCAGCCCTGCCTGTGCACCCCCTCATCGATCCGTCGAAACTGCGTGTTACCTTTGACCCACCCCTCCACCATACCGCGAGCGACGTAACGGGCAACCAGAAAGGCGCATGAGACGCCGATTATTGCCCCGATAGAGGCGTAGACAACCCCCCAGACGGGCCCAAAGGCAAGACCAGAGAGCATTGTGACGGGCAAACCGGGCAGAAAGAAAACGGTCGCAACAATGTAAAAGCCTATGTACACCAAAGGAGCGATGACACCGAAACTGTTGATTTTCTCTTTGATTTTTGGGATATTGTCGCGCTTGAGGTATTCTGTCACACCATAATGACTTAATAGACTATACGCACCAACAATGACAATAATAACGATAATGATCTTCACAAGGTTCCGTTTCATAGCGTTTCAATCCCTTCTCAGTTGTTGATAAATATAACGCAAGCCGCTATGACAGTTAACAAGTTTAACCCAACTGGGCAGGCACAAGACCTGCCCCTACATCTAGCAACCCTTGTCGAGTTTCCATACTCGACACCTACTAGAAATACTTATAGATTGAACACCAACCTGTAGGGGTTGGGTTTCCCAACCCGTTGGGTGGGGAGACCCTGCCCCTACAAGAAAAACATCCATTTTCTAGCAACTTGCGTTACCTAAATATGGAGACATGAAATGTCCAAAACTTACAGCGCAGCCGTCATCGGAGCGACCGGCAAGGGTGGCTACGGACATCGCCTAGACACTGCATTTGATATCGATGATGTCGAACTGGTCGCTATCGCTGACCATGACCCCGAAGGACTTGCGGATGCCGGCGAACGGTTGGGTGTTTCTCGACTCTACCGCGACTACCGGCAGATGCTTGAGACGGAAAAGCCCGACTTCGTCAGCATTGCGCCGAGTTGGGTCACAGACCGTGTCCCCATGATTGAAGCCGCTGCGGCGGCGGGGTGCCACATCTATTGCGAGAAACCGGTTGCGGGCAGCCTCGCCGAGGTCGATGCCATCGTCGCCGCCTGCCAGCGTGCAAAGGTAAAGATGGCGGTCGCTCATCAATGGCGTGCGATGCTCCCAATCCAAAAAGTAATCGAAGACGTGAAAGCCGGTAAATTCGGAAAATTGCTCCGTGTCCGCACCCGTCCGAAAGACGACAGTCGAGGTGGCGGCGAAGAATTGCTCCTACACGGGACACATCTCTTTGATCTGATGATGGCTTTCACCGGTGAACCGCGCTGGGCAAGTGGACACATCACTATGGACGACCGAGATGCCACAACGGACGATACACGGGAGGGCAACGCCCCCGTCGGTCCTATCATGGGCGATTCCATCTCCGCGGTATTCGGCTTCGACAACGGTGTGCGCGGGTTCTTCGACTCTACCGCCGGTTTGGCTATTCCCAACCAATCCAATTTTGACAACCTCTACGGGCTGTCCCTCGAATGCGAGCGAGCTGCGTTGGAACTCCGCGAGCCGGGCGATGTCTACATCTATCTGGCACCGCGGGTGTTGCCTGACCTCCAAGATCTCGCTTGGGAAAAGGTCTGGATGCCGGAGTGGCATGAGCGTCCTGAACATGCGCCGCCTCTGCTACGGAAGAACTGGCTGTCCATAGGTAACAAAATCCTTGCTCGGGACCTGATCGATGCTGCCGAGACCGACCGCGAACCGCTCTCTAGTATTCGGATGGTCCGTTTCGTAAACGAAATGGTTCAAGGGGTTTACAGTTCACACCTGCTCTCCGGTCAGCAAATTGCTATTCCTCTAACCGAACGTGCCCATCCGCTCGGTGAATTGTAAATGAGGCACCTATTCTGCGGCTCTGTGCTTACTGAAACCTTCCGCACAGACAAGCAGTAGAATGAGGGTGGCTTGGATAATCAGAAATAACTCCCTCGGCACATTCGTTAAAATCTCGATATCCAATGCCCCCTTGTTCAATGCGCCGAACAGGAGCGCGGCGAAAAGGATACCGTAGGGGTGGTTCCTCCCAAGCAGTGCGACCGCAATGCCGGTGAACCCGAAACCGGGGGAGAAGTTATCAAGGAAACGATGGCGATAACCCATTACCTCCCACACCCCAGCAAAACCTGCGATCGCCCCACTCAACGCCATCGTCCAGACCGTCACGCGACGCACGTTAATCCCCGCATAGGTGGCGACCTCTGCGGCATTGCCGACAAAGCGAATCTCATATCCCCATTTGGTGCGCGTCAATAAAAATTGTGTCAGTCCAATCAGTCCAAACGCAAAAAACAGCGTGATGTTTACGGGGTTGCTTGGCAGAAACGCCGACGAAAGGGCAGATAGTCGTGGCAGCTGCGCTGCTTCATGAATCAAGGGTGTGTGCGGCGTCATCTGATCCGGTGCCTTATAGACCTCGGTGACAAGGTAATTTGTCAACGCGATTGCGATAAAGTTCAGCATGATGGTGTTGATGACTTCATGCACACCGTAACGCGCTTTGAGTACCCCCGGTATAGCTCCCCACAATCCCCCTGCGAGGGTTGCAGAAGCCAAGCAAGCGGGTATGATAACCCAGCCGCTTCCCCAGTTCAGGTTAAACCCGACCCATGCCGCGGCGAATCCTGCGAGGTAGAGTTGTCCTTCACAGCCGATATTGAAAAGCCCTCCCTTAAACCCAAGCGTAACCGCTAGCCCAGTAAAAATTAAGGGAGTTGCGTTGAATAGAACATAACCAAAATCGTCCAGAGTGCCGAAGACGCTCTGCCATAAGAGTCCATAAACTTCAAATGGACTCTCACCGAACAACAGGATTAAGACACCGCCGAGCAAAAACGCAGCGAAAAGCGCGAGTAAGGATGGCAGCACACGAAGTGGTACATCCCCTGTAAAATGTGAGAGGTGAGAGGTTATGCGCGATGCGTAATCTGCGAGTTTATTCATTCTCCATTCCGAGAGTCTCCGACCTGTTATTTTGACAATGCTGCTAACAAGCGCGTCACATCCGCACTACCGTTATAGAGATGGGTTGAAATCCGCATCCGACCGAATTCGCCCCAGCACAGCACACCCATCTCAGCTAGCCGCACCTGCATCGCGTGTGCATCTTCAACCAAAAAACAGGTGTTCCCCGACCTTGCGGATCGGGTCTGTGGACTGATAACCGTAAAGCCCAGATTTCTCCAGCCCGGTACTCACCAACTCAGACAGTGTCCGGGCATGGTCAGAGATTCGCTCGATTCCCAATCGAGAGCAGTACCTCCAACGCTCGGTCTAGGTGCATCACCACCAGCATTGACGGGTTGCCTGGTTCCAGACGTTCAGGCATCGGCTGCTCCTCGACTTCCTGTGCGCGTTCCGCCTCTTGGGGGGGCCACACCACTAGGTTATGCCAGCCGAAAGAGGTTGAGACAATCTGTCCTTCCGCCCGTTCACTCAGATACATAGGGGCTACGCCGTGCGTGGCGAGCAACCACTTGTAGCTGCTGCTCACGGTCAAATCCGTCAGCCCTGCCGGAACATCCACAACCCCTGCGGCATGGGTTGCGTCCACCGCAAAAAGCGCGCTCCGTTGTCGGAGACCATCGGAGAGCTGTTCTATGTGCAAACACTGTCCCGTATAGAAACTGACTTGGCTCACCGCCAAGACCCGCGTCCGTTCATCCACCGCATCCAGCAGATCTGTCTCGTGCACAAGCCAATCCCGATGTGGCACCAATCGCACCTCCACCCCCACGACCGCGGAGGTCCCGCCAAGCATAGGCGACCGATGGGAACTCCAAATTGGTTGTTACTACATTGTCCCCTTCCCGCCAGTTCACACCGCGCGCCAGCCAATTCAGCCCCTCTGCCGCTGATGGCATAAACGCAATCCGATCCGATGGCACACGCCAAAGTTTGCCCATCCGGCTTCTACAGCGTTCCCCTCGTGCATAAATTTCTTCCCGCCCATCGTATCCAGCACTCTTCAAACGGGCAAATTCCGCATACACCGCTTCCTGCGCCTTCAGCCAAGGGGCTTCACCCCCCGTGCAGAGATGTGTCACGCTTTCCAGCCCCACAAACTGATCGGGCGAGATAAGTGGTTCAATATGTGTGTCGGAACGGTTCATGTGCAACCCCTTTGTGTCTTGCAGCCTTTGCGGATATGGATATCTCAACGTCGGGATTATAGCAATAGTTCACTAGGAATACAACTGAAAAGTTCTGTGGGATAGCCCCATCCCGCCGAGATTCTGCACTTTAGTATTGAGGGAATCTTGGGGTTCTGCTAAAATAGCAGATATAGCGATAGTCCATCATCCCGATAACGCGTAGTAATCAACAGGAGGTGCCTCCTTATGACAACTAGTTATCGCGTCGGCATTATCGGTTGCGGCAGCATCACCCAACGTCACGCGAAGGTGTATCAGAGTGCGCCGGGCTTTCATCTGGCCGCCGCCGTTGAGCCTAACCCTGAGACAGCACGCGTATTTCAGGAGACTTTTACTCTTCCTATCGAGAAATGAGCCTATCGGGCGCCAATGAATTAGTGAACTAGTGAACCAATTGTTTTCACGTTTTACGCATCTAAAACATGAAAGGGGACACCCAACATGCAATCCTTTTCCATTGATAGCGATGCGATTTCGCTTCCGCGAGGGGCGTGGGCGAAAGCCCATCGGTTGAATGTGAGTTGGCGTGGGAGATCCATTGCCGCTCTGAGTCAAGGTGAATATCGTGCCTACCTGTTCCCTGTATATACCCCAGCGGGCTTCGCCGTGACCTCCGAGAGCCCGATAGATCACCCGCACCACAATTCGCTTTGGATCGGTGCCGATCATTTCCATTGCCATCTGCCCTTCTCAACCAATGCCTATGAGGAAGCTACCTATAACTTCTACGTCAACGATACTTTTCAGGGGCGGGCACCGGGACACATCGTCAGCGTTTCGGTGGAGGAGACGGAGGTATCAGAAAACCATCTCCGGCTTATACAAACGCTCAACTGGCAAGGTCCGTCCGAGTGGGGCGCACCCCAAGGGCGTATCCTCGCGGTCGAAACCCGTACCATTGATATCTATCCCGGCGAAACGGCGAACCTAGTCGACATCCGTTCACAGTTGAGCCCGACCGATTGGGATATCAACATCGGTCCTACGCGCCACGCCTATTTCGGCGTTCGCATGGTCGAGTCCCTGCGTGCTACGGCTGGCGCAACCCTTATCGATTCTGCCGGCCGCTCCGGCGGCGCAGCGATAAGCGGCGGCGGACGCCGATTGGGTGGACTGTTCGGGACAAATTGCTGCGGACAGATGCGTGGGTGTGGCGGTGTTTCGATACCCTTCTACTGCCGAGGCATCGTGGTATATCGCTGACTGGGGAACGCTAGCGGTGAACCCGTTTGCGCGAGAGGGGCGGCTGATAAAAAGTGGTGAGGTCCTCGATTTGGCGGTGCGGGTCGTCGTCCACGATGGGAGACGCATGAAGACGGCAGGGGATTGAGGGACTGTATCAGCGCTTTATCCAAGAGGTTCGGAGCTAAAGTGCTTTGGGCAGGCGCAAGACCTGCCCCCACATTGGGAATCCTGTAGGGGCAACCCTTGTGACTGCCCTGCTTAGCATGAGCGAAAAAAGAAAGTAAAGTCTAGCTCTGTTGAGCTTCCATATACGCCCGTAAGACCGCGTTCATGCGTGTCTGATAGCCGCTCCCATGGGATTTAAACCACTCTAAAACGTCGTTATCCACGCGCAAAGATATGGCACGCTTTGGTTGCGGTATCATGACTTCGGCATTCGCCCAAAACGCTTCATCCGTTGGCTGGGCGTCCGGATCTGATGCAGCTGCCGCTTCAATTTCGGATTCAGTCATATTTTTGAGGCGTTCCCAATCTGTCTGTGAATCCTTTGGGAGGTTATTTAGAGAATAGCTCAAAGTATTTTTTTCTTTCACGACGATTTGCTCTCCTTGCTGAGATGATACGCCAAATGCCGTCTCGAGCAGTGTAGACGACATACAAGATGACATCCTCGACAGTCCCCATCGCAGCGATTCGTTTTTCACCATAGTCACGGCGATTATCAACTACTGTGAGTGTTGGATGCTCAAAGATACGCACCGCATCCGTAAAATCGATGCCGTGCTTTTCAATATTACGTTGGTTTTTAATCGAATCCCATTCAAATTCCATCACATACATAGTATACTATCTAACAATACCAAAAACGTAGACGACCAGCTTTGCACTTTTTTCATTGACACATCGGGATATTTTTGACTACAATCTTTGAGGTAATTCTTTTTTGTGCTCCAGTTATCATCTAATTCCTTACGTTGACATTACCTAAGCATTTCTCAATACCACAGGAGGACATTGATTATGGCAGCAAACGGACCTGTACCGAAAACCCGTTCTGAAGGTCGGGGACCAACGATTTGGCTCGCTGGTACTCCCGAAGAGTTGGAGCCATTAATGCCGCTCGGCATTGCTGGAATTGTTACCAATACCGTGGTGCTTAATCAATACGCTAAGCAGTACGGTTCGGTTATTGACTTGCTCAAGCATTACCTCGACATAACTGACAAACCCGTGGTCATGGAAATCGACGGGCACACGGTTGAGAATTGCTCGCGGTTGGGAAGGTATTTACTGACCTGTCGGATCAAATTATCCTGAAAATTCCCTGCACGGTCAATGGGCTCGAAGCCTTCAGTATCCTCAAGGAAGAGGGGGTCGAGACCTTCTGCACAACGGTTTTCTCCTTGACCCAAGCCGCCGCCGTTGCCCAGGCTGGGGTCGACCATCTCCTGCCGTTCTGCGATCCTGTTAAGGCGGTCGGCGGAGATCCAACCCAACTGATACGTGAATGTTCCCAGATGTTCAGTGGCTGGGAACAGCGGCCCTTCATCATGGCGGCGCTCGTCCGCTCGGTGGAGACAGCCCATGCCGCCTTCCGCTGATGGTGCCGACGAGCTTGTCACCATGTGGACGGTCTACCGCGAAATGATGGACCACCCGCTCACCGACGAATGGAACAAAACCTTCATGGACGAGTGGGTCGATATGCACGAGAATGGGTTGCTGGAAGGCGTGCCGGTCACGCTCCATTGAAGCTGAACCTTCAATTCTACGTGCAACCCTTCATTACCATTGCGATTATAAAAATGCTGAGGGGCTTCCTTGCCCCGATACATGAGGCGAATGGTTCAATCCATTCGCCTTTTTTTATTGATTGCCCCGAAGGGATTAGGGCGTGTTGACATTTGTGCGAGGCGTGTCCATAATTCGCCGATAACTCTCTATCGTAGGGGCGAGGTTCCCTCGCCCAACGGGTTGGGAGACCCAACCCCTACGGAGGATCATGCATCTGTGCACCCCCCTGATTGTCTGGTTGCGATGAAATGTCAACAGAACCTAGCAACTTAATCTAAAAAAGTGCTAGAAAAAATCACAGAACGGTGTTTTATAAAGTGTAAGGGAGGAATCAGAACAGTGGCTAACGACAAGGTACTCATTGCCCGCGCCCAATCTGGGGATGAACAGGCATTTGCTCACCTCATGCGGGCGCATTACGCCTTCGTTTATGCGATTGTTATCGGAATCGTGGACAATCCCCACGACGCCGAGGAAGTTGTCCAAGACACCTTTCTGAACGTCTATCGCGGTTTAGCGCAGTATGAGGAGCAGACCAAATTCAGAAGTTGGTTAGCAACAATTGCGCGGAATCGTGCGCTGAATTGGTTACGAACGCAGAGAATGGATACTGTGTCCATCAACGAAGTGGAGGAGCACATGCTTCAGATTCCGAATACACTCGACGACCAGTTGATACGCGACGAACAGAGGGAACTGATTCGCCGGGCAATGGCGACACTTTCGCAAAAAGATAGGGAGATCGCTCGATCTTACTATCTTGATGGCGCAAGCTACGACGAATTAATCCGGACACACGGACTGTCATACAAGGCGATTGCGTTTCGGTTGTCACGTGCGAAGCAGAGACTCGCCAAACGGTTGCAGTACCTGCTCACTGGTTTATCTGTTCCTCCAGCAACGACACTCAAACAAATTTACTCAGGAGGACTCACAGCTATGAAAATTGGAACGGCTCCCAAAATCACTGCCGGGGCAATAGGCATCGTTGCTCTTGCCAACAGAGGCAAAGTCCGAGATCTCTATGACCTCGGTGAGCAATTATTAATTATCTCAACGGATCGGATCTCGGCGTTTGATGTTGTGCTGCCGAATGGGATTCCGTACAAAGGGCAAATCCTGACCGGACTCTCTGAGTTCTGGTTTGATTACACAAAATCAATTGTCGATAATCATATCATCACGACTGATGTTTCACAGTATCCTGACGCGCTGCAGACCGATGCGGAGGTGCTTGAAGGACGGTCAATGCTTGTGCGGAAGGCGAATCGAATCGATATCGAATGTGTCGTGCGGGGATACATCGCGGGTTCTGCGTGGTCGGAGTATAAACAGGATGGAACGGTATGCGGGGAAAAGCTGCCGGCAGGACTAGTAGAGTCAGAACGTTTGCCAGAACTCATCTTCACCCCTTCCACGAAGGCGGAGCAAGGTGAACATGATGAGAACATCTCAATCGCAGAGATGGAGGAGGCGATTGGGAAGGATTTGTCAGAAAAGATTATCCAGACCAGTTTCGCGCTGTTTGAAGCGGCAAGCGAACATGCAGAAAAGGCGGGTATCATCCTCTGCGACACCAAGTTTGAGTTTGGGCAGATTGACGGTCAGCTGATTCTTATTGATGAGGTCTTCACCCCCGATTCCTCTCGCTTTTGGCCCAAGGACGAATATAAGCCCGGCAGTTCGCCGCGCAGCTTTGACAAACAGTATGTTCGTGACTATCTGAGTGATATTGGCTGGAACAAAGAGCCCCCGGCGCCTGAATTGCCAGCAGAGGTCATCCGCCAAACCAGCGAAAAATATCTGGAGGCGTATCGCCTGATTGTTGGTCGGGAATTATTGTGAAGGTTGGGCTGTGACGCTAGACATCTGTTGACGTACTCCCAAACCTAAAGGATTGGGATTCTCACCCATTTCAATTTAGCTGTCAAATAAGTCTTGATAACATTGCCCTGAAGGCTTCCTTGATCCGATACATGAGGCGAATGGTTTAATCCATTCGCCTTTTTTGTTGATTGTCTCCGAAGGGATTAGGGCGTGTTGACATTTATGGTATAATGACCGTATGCTAACATTTTACCAGCGACCCCTGTATAGACTAGCTCATCATTGACATCGCCATCATCTGCGCTGACCTATGTGCTATGGGCGCTTTGGAAAAAAGTTGAGCCCCAACCTCACAAGGGCGCAGCTGGGATGGATTTTCGACGAAAACTCATATCGTTGTTGATGGTTTACGTAATCCAATTGAAATAGGTGGCTCACCCGTTCTAAGTACTGGTGTGGCATTTTTGCGACGACGGTGTAGCACATTTTCGACAGTCTCTTTGTGAGTGTAACGCTCTCTTTGGAATCACAGCGCATATCAACAGCAGGTGCAAAGTTGGCTTGAGAAAGCGTTTTCCGAAAAACTCATTTTTTGGACAATGCGCTTTGCATGATTTGGGATAGCTGTGGCATCTAAATTGCTTGTGGTTGATGCGCCAAGTGAATTTCGTTTGGCAACGATTCGCGTCAGATTTTATCTGGCTCCGTTGAAATGTCAACAAAACCTAGCGTTAAAACCTACAATTCAAATTCCAAAGAGAGGACGAACCCCCTTCATGAAGTTTTGCTGTTTAGTTCTGTTTGTAGTGCTCACGATGCCGTTCTCTGTTTTCTCCGAAACAGACAATGCAAAAAAAGACGAGACCCCAAAAACTAGAAGAAGCATTTGGCAGAGGGTCTTTCCCCGCACAGGTGATATAGAAGGCACCGTCTACCAGCACGAAACCGACGCACCACTGGTTGAAGCAGAGGTGCACATCCTTGAAACCGGTCAATATCAAAAAACCGGTAGGGACGGAACGTTTCGGTTTACCGAAATTCCCATTGGAATATATACACTCTCCATATCCCACCCGACTCGAAGTACTTCCACAGAAATTCCGATTGAGATTCGCGCAGGCGAGACGCTCCGCGGGAGATTTTACCCTGGTGCGCCGGTCCCATTTGTGAAAGCCATCTATAGTGGGGATATCGATGGGTCCCTCTATAGCCAAACGACCGGGAAGCCCCTCGCCAACGCTGAGGTCAGCTTCGTCGAAATCGATGTGTCAGGACGAACAGATGCATCTGGAAATTTTCAGTTTACAAACATCGCCCCCGGCACCTATACCTTGTTAATTACGCATCCAACGTATGAGGCACCAACGACTACGAAAATAGAGGTAGCAGCAGGTGATACCACACAGGTAAAAATATACCTCGGTACAGTGGTACAACTCGAAACAGTGGTCGTAGAAGGGAAACGTCTCCCCCCAACGATTAGCCGCAAGGAGATTCGAGGCAGTGAACTGATACGGATACCTGGTAGCGGACGTGATGTGTTCAGAGCACTCACGACACTGCCGGGCATCGGTATCCCCAATGATTACTTCCGCGTCCTCTATATCCGCGGAAGTGCGCCGGGAGACACGCTCATTATCTTGACCGAACCCCGCTCGGTTATCCGTTTCACTTTGGCGGACTCTTCTCAACAATCAATTCAGATAGTATTGAAGATATACGTATTTACGCCGGTGGCTACGGTGCCGAATTCGGTTTAGATTCGCAATCAATTATTGACATACATTCGCGCGAACGCTCAAAAAAAAGGTGGGCAGGTGTATTTGATCTGAACCTTTTATCGCCGTCTGGGTTCCTTGAAGCCAAAATCGGAGACAAGGGCTTACGCATCTATTGCCGGACGATTCGCGACTGTCAATCTCATTTTAGGGTATTTCTTTGATTTCACATTTCCCACATGGTCAGACTATCAACTCAAATTTGCTTATGAACTCACTGAAAAGCATCGCCTAACACTCAACGGCGTAGGTGCGACGGATCATTTCGACTTCTCCAACATTGGATCAGAAGATACAGAAGAAACAGCTAACTTTTCCGCCTATTTCAAAAACGGGTTTGAAGCGGAAGGTGTCCACCTCCGCTCTAATTTTACCAACAAACTCACATCTCATCTCTCTCTTACGCGTTCCCACAATTTTCTTAATATTAATTTCGGCGGTGACTCAAGCCAAGACGACAGCCCTGCTGGTGAAAAATTTATCTACAATGTCCAGGTTAACGCGCCAATGTATACCCTTCGCGAAGACTTGTCCTACAAACTAACACCGACACTTCAATTCGAGCCAGGATTTCTCCTCGCCTTCAGTCCAGCCGAGAGCGTTACACACACCTCTTCCCCACAGAGCATAAGTTTTGATGATGAGGAACTTGTTTGGAAAGAGAAATTTGACAAATTTAATTACGGCTTTCGGCGTGCTGAAGGGTACTTACAAGCACGATACGATCCATTATCATTGCTGTCAGTCGCGTTCGGTGTACGATTTGATTACCTCAATTTGACGGAAGAGCTTTCAGTTCAGCCGCGCGGCAGTCTTAGTTTCACACTGCCAACAACTTCCATCCTCCGATTCGCCTACGGCAGGTACGAACAGAGCCCATTCGCGTATCAAGTACTAAAAACAGATGGAAACAGGGACCTAAAATCGAGCATGACCGAGCATTATGTCATGGAATTAGAGCATGAACTCTCACCACAAACGGAACTCAAATTCGCTCTCTATTACAAAGACATGAAAAAATTAGTCACTCGATCTGTCAATGCTGACGCTCTTTTTGATGGCTTGAATACAGCGGTTACAACGGCATATCTCAATCAAGGAATAGGGTTTGTGGGCGGGGCAGAAATGTTCCTACGGCACCGTATTAGTGAAAAGTTTTTCGGATGGGTCTCCTATGCCTATACCCATGCGGAGCGGCGTGAGACACCGGATGATGTCTACAAACCATTTCTCTTTGACAATACACACATTGTCAGTATCGTTGCCAACTACAGTCCAGCAACAAAAACCGAGATCGGCGCAAAGTGGCAATATGCAAGCGGTACTTCTGCAGTTCCCCTGAGCACACTTCTGATGGTTCAAGATCCTGTGACCCTAGGTATGCATCCACTCTTTCTGATGTCGCAGGCGCGATTGCTTCGACCGGGTTGCAGGTTTATCACCGCCTGGACCTCCGTTTTAGTCGCAAGAGAACTTTGTGGGGTCTCCCTGTGACATTCTTCACCGAATGTTGGAAATATGTCCAGTAAAGAGCATAAAATAAGGTAAAGTTCAGTTTTCCTGACAAATTTGTAGATGAATTCAAGGAGTGGCTTCCCCTTTCCTTTTCGGGGGCGTATCTGGCAGAATGACAAGATACCAAAATAACAATATCTAAAGCAACTTCCGCCCCTTCAAACTTGTTTAAATAAAAAACTCAACAGTATATAACCATCGCCACCAC